GAGTGGAAAAAGCACTGGCCCTGATTTAGAGGACATAGGTTCAGATCCTGCTTTGGGCAATTCACATTACTTCCCTGGGCCTCACTTTCCTAATTTGTAAAATGAGAAAGTTGAACTAGATGGACTCTGAGATCCCTTATAGATCCATGATCCTAAATTTGATGACTATTTATAACATGTTTTTTGTGTAAAATGTTTTCTGCTGTTGCCATTATAAATATGGATATGTTTCTGATACTCCTATAAGCTAGGATGATCTAAGTTCAAATGCTGCTTCAGACACTAGCTCACTTAAAGCTTAGATTTGACTCTTGTCTAGGGTCTCCTAAAAGGAGGAATTAGAAAAGTATTTAATTAAATTTAATAAATTAATTAAATTTAATTAAAAGCATTTAAAGTAAAAAATGTTGGAGGGGATGTGGAAAAATTATGGCACTAATTCATTGTTGGTGGAATTGTGAATTGATCCAATCATTTTGTAGAGCAATCTGGAATTATACTCATAGAATTATTAAACTACCTATACCCTTTGACCCAGCAATACCACTGCTAGGTCTATTTTCAAAGATGATTAGGTGAAAAGGAAAATAATTTGTATGTTCTAAATATTTGTAGCAGCTCTCTTTGTGGTGGCAAAGAACTGGAAATTGCAAGGATGCCCATCAATTAGGGAATGGCTGAACAAGTTGTGGTATATGATTGTGATGGAATATTACTGTGCTAGAAATGATGAGCTCGGCTCAGATTCTTATGATCTAGCCACGGCTAGGATTCTTATAATCTAGCCATGGCTGGGATTCTTATAATCTAACCACTGCTCAGATTCCTAAAATCTAGCCACTGCTTAGATTGTTATAATCTAGCCACTGCACAGATTTTTACAATCTAGCCAATAGCCCACAGATGCTCACATTCCTTAAGAATCTGGCTAATATGGCGAATCTTCAATAAACCTTGTTTTTGGCTGAAAGAAGGCTTGGGTTGAATTCTTTCGGACAGAATCCGCGTGTCATGATTTTGGGATTCCAGGACCCCTAACCTCTAGACCTCATCATATGGTTCCCTGCACCAGGAAAAACTGCCTATACCAAGCTCTTTACCAGCTGGCACTGGAAGAGAAAAAGAAATAAAAAAGGAACATGAAGGCAAAAGCAAGGGCTGAAAATGAACTAAGGGATAGATCCGAGGAAAACTATGAAAGCTTGAAATCATGCCCAAATGAGGGAAGCAACTGCCATGGGCCACAGGAAAGCCAGAGGTCAAGATTAAGGTTAGGTCAAAGTCAGGATTGAAGCTTAGACATCTTGGTCCAGAGGGAGAAATCATTTGCCAGGTGACTTGAAGAGTAACCTGAACTTTTACAGATTAGCAAAAGGAACAGCGATGGTCTTTCACCCCTGAACATTTAGCCCAGCAGTCTGGTCCCATGGGAAATATTACATCTTGCTTTTTGTGGAGACAATCCAATCTAAGAAATTCAGACTCTATCATTTTGTAGATGAAAATATATACTAAAAACAACAGCAATTGCCAGTCATCATCATAACTTTTTTAATGCTGTTAAGTCACTCACTATAGAAGGAACTATACTAGATGTTGAGGAAGATTGAAAAATAAGCAAGATTTGCTTCCCTTACCTAAGAAAATCGCCATTTATTGAAGCATGTATGGAGAATTCCATAAATCATATAAAAGGTCCAAAGTGTCATTAGAGTTCAGAGGATGTGAATATTGTTTCAAGATGCAGTGGATAGAATAAAATTGAACCTCAGAGTTAGAAGGGACCTCAAGGGCCATCTATTCTAGTTGAGAACTAAACAAGAATCCTTTCTACAATGAACAGAATGAATGAGCTCTCCAACTGAGACCAAGGTCAGTTCAACAAAGGGAGAAAGAATCCCCAATTTTACTCAAGAGAAAATTGCTCAGGTTCTAGGAAAGGAAACTGGAAATTAAGAAATGTTGAGATACTGGCTTCTCTTTATTTCTGCCCTTCCCAAAATCTTCGGTCTATCTTTCCGTCTCTTTCTGACTCTCTTTTCTGTATCTCTCTCTGCATTCTGTGTCCATCTCTTTCTCTCTCTGTTTTCTCAGAAGAGAGTTTAGCACCACGTGTATCCTTTCTCAAAGCAGGAAGCAAGAAGACTTTCAAAGGTCTGGCACCAAATCAACCCCTGACTCAAGCATACAGTGTCTAGTCTTCTCCAACAATAACAACTTCTATGCAAGTTCACCAGGCTTGAATCATGGGTTAAGAAGCTTACTGAGGCTGTATAAAATATACACAAATGCATATGATATAGAGTCATTAGGAAAGGCACAAAACAATAGTGGGGGTGCAGAGGAGAGGGGCAGAGAATGTTTCAGAGAAGACACAAGGCATAAATTGAGAACTGAAAGAAGATAAGGATGCTAATAGGGAGTTGGAGGGAGGGTATTTTCAGGCTTGAGGAATGCCTTGTTTTGTACAGTTGTAGGGGATCCAAAGTTAGATAACAGCTAGTATTCCACTTTGGTTGTAATGTATAGTTTGTCTGGAAGGTAATGTTCAGTGAGACTGGGAAGGAATAAAGAGGCATGACTGAAGACAACATTCAACCTGGAACGCATAGAGAAGAGGGAAATTTCTAGAGGAAGAGAGGGTATAAGCAAAAGAATGAGATGGAAATCTACAGGCAAACTCACTGATTCCTTTAAATTTGGTAGTCCATTTTGGAATAGGATGACTTTGTTGACTTGTGTGATTTATTGTATATCTGGCATTTATTCATTTCTCTGTGCTTTGCAGACAGAACATTTTGGCACAGTGGTGAATGTATATAGAAAAAAATCATAATAAAGTGCTTTCTTGTAACAATCAAAAAAAAAGGATGAGCTCAATGATCTTAGAAAAACATGGAAAGACTTGCATGAAATAATGAAGAGTGAAATGAGCAGAACCAAGAGAACATTCTATATAGCAACAGCAATACTGTTTTAAGAATGACTTTGAGCAAATAAGTTATTTTGACTATTATAAATTCCCAAATTAACTACAAAGGACGTATGAAGAAAGACACTATCTGCATCCAAAGAAAGAATTGATAAATAAAAGTATGTATAGAATAACTTTATATATACACACACACACACACACACACACACACACACACCCCACACCTATTTGTGTCTAATAGTGGCCATCTCTAGGGTGGGGCAGGGGGAAGAGAGGAACAGAATGAAAAAAATGGAAAAATGCACATAACTTTGTTGTATATTTAAAAGGAACAGCAAGTTGTACATGATAGATTTGCAGTTTCATGTGCAATCATTCTTTTTTATTATATTATGTTATGGAAATGCTTATTTTATTCCATAAATTAAAAATAAAATAATTTTTTAAAAAGAAAGGTATTTAATGTACAATGTATGCAACAGTTGCTTTTTTTACTCCAAACAAAAGAAATGCTTAAAACATATAAAACTCACAAGCACATTATTGACAAAAAACAAAACAAAATAAAAACTCTGAAGCCAGCAGCAATAACATATAACTACTGTTATCCTTTCGTGGGATGTTGAAACTTAAAATATCAAAACATGAAGCATTTTACACCTTCACCTCAGTTCCATATTGTCTAGAAATGTCCCCCATCTTCATGACTTCTGGCTACAGTATGCAAGGCCTGACTCAAACCGAATACTTCAGGTTTCAAAGGGGAATGAAGTGAGACACTCATAGAATGTCTCATAGTGAAGCAAAGGCCGCAGCAGGAAAAGCACATTCCGAACAAGGAAAAGAGATTCAGTGAGGTTCCGCCCTTGATTCAGATAAGCATATTTCTCTGCCTCAGGGTTGCCCACGGTGGTCTGCTGGTTAAGCCTGAGAGAACTGTTAGACTAGATGACCTCTGAGTTCCTTTTGGCTCTAAATCTACGATTCTATGGCTCCATACTTAGGATCTTTCTGTCAGATGAAATTCATTTCTGTAACCTGTTAATACAGCTCCTGAATGAAACAAGGAGAGTCCTCCAGGAGCTAACCTTGCTCCATATGCCTAACTAATCATGGCTTAAAGAATGGCATTTGTGTCCATGGCTCCTTTTCCATCTGCAGATTTCATGGCATCTCTTCTGGGTGCAGGACCAGCAGAGAAAGATTTTCAGCACTTGTTTCTGATAGGGGATAAAGTAGGGAAGGGGGATAAAGCAGGGAAAGGAAGAGCTTCTCAAGAATTAGGAAAACAAAAAAAAATAGCTCCTTACAGAAAATTTGGAGAACCCTGTTCTTAGAGGCAATTTCCACATGCCATGGAATCCAGTACAGATAAATGCTACCCTATAACTATACCTTTTGCATCTACAGTACTGGATCATCAAAATGTTTTTTTTTTCAGAATTTTCCTTTCAGATCCTGCCAAACCCAAAAAGATATTATATACATTCACTATATGGAATTATTAGGGTTGATACATTTTTAAACTGCAATGGTTAAATCAAAGAAGGGATTTTGAGATAATCTCCAGTCAATTGGAAAATTCAATTAGCCAGAACACAATTCATCAAATATTTCATTTAATCAAGCTTATGCTATCTCTGCCTTACAGAACAGAAACCTGAACTGACCTAGGCTTCGGCTTGTGTTGCCTTAAAAACTAGACTGGTTGGGATTAGAGGACACCTGCATGCTCTATTCTCCTTCCTGCAGATTTGATTTTCAGCTCTTTATTTTGAATTAAAAGTAATGCCTTCTTAGACAGCCATTGCTTTCTGACTTTTTTTGGTTTTGTTTTTAAAAATAAATTTTATCAATTTTTTTTAATATTGCCTAAATTTTCCCTTGAATCCTTCCCCCTCCCCACTCCCAGACAGCCATCCCAATATGATAAAGAATAGTTTACTCTTTTATATATCTTTAAGCAGTCTTGTATAGCTGTGATTATCAAAAGGTATAAACATCTCTTCTTTAAAAGAAAAGTCATCCTACTAATGAAACACTGGCAAAAGTCATGGACACTTACATTAAGGAGGTTATCAAGTATGTTGTTCCCTATGGAAAAGACCTGTAGCTTTACTAATGAGTCCATAGCATCCATCTTGGCAATTCGGTTGCTGAATAAGCTCAGATCTTCTAAGTTAACTAGAGTATCTAGGCCCTCAATTGACTCAATGTTGTTGAAAGATAAATCTGAAAATTAAAAAAAATTAAGAAATTTGTTAAATTTTGATCTCAATTTTATTACTAAAGTAAAAATATATTTCTCTCAGTTTCTCCATGTTAAATAAAAATAGAGGTATCAGATATATGGTAGGTGCTAGGTATACAAAGATGAAAATGAAATAATTCCTGTCCTCAAGAAGCTTACATTCTATTGGAAGGAAGAAAACAAGCATTTATTTATTTTTTTAATTAATTAATTAATTTTTAGTTTTCAACATTCACTTCCATAAGCTTTTGAGTTTTATATTTTCTCCCCGTCCCTTTTCTTCCCCCTCCCCAAGACAGCATGCAATCTGACATAGGCTCTACATATACATTCTTATTAAATATATTTTCACATTAGCCATGTTGTAAAGAAGAATTAGAACAAATGGGAGGAACCATGAGAAAGAAAACACAAAACAAACAAAAAAAAAGAGAGAGCAAATAGTATGCTTTGATCTACATTCAGACCCCATAGTTCTTTCTCTGGATGTGGATAGCATTTTCCATCATGAGCCTTTTGGAGTTGTCTTAGATCAAGTCTATCAAAGTTAGCCATCACTCAATGTGGCTGTTACTGTGTACAATGTTCTCCTGGTTCTGCTCATTTCATTTAGCATCAGTTCATACAAGTCTTTCCAGGTTTTTCTGAAGTCTGCCTGCTCATCATTTTTATAGCACAATAGTATTCCACTATATTCATATACCACAACTTGTTCAGCCATTCCCCAACTGATGGGCATCCCCTCAATTTCTAATTCTTGGCCACCACAAAAAGAGCTGTTATAAATATTTTTGTATGTGTGGGTCCTTTTCCCATTTTTATGATCTCTTTGGGATACAGCCCTAGAAGTGCTATTGCTGGGCCAAAGGGTATGTATATTTTTATAGCCCTTTGGGCATAGTTCCAAATTGCTCTCCAAAATGATTGGATCAGTTCACAACTCCACCAACAATGCATTAGTGTTCCAATTTTGCCACATCTTCTCCAGCATTTATAATTTTCCTGAAACACGTATTTATTAAGTGCTTACGATGTGTCAGGTATTTTATAATTATCATCTCATTTGATCTTTACAACAGCCCTGGGAAGTAGGCACTATCATTTTCCTTATTTTTACCATTGAGGGTACTAAGGCAGAGAGAGGTCAGTAACTTGTCCAGGGTCACACAACTAGTAAGTGACTGATATCAAATGTGACTACAAGTCTTTCTGATTTGAGGGTCTGTGTTCTACCCATTGTGCCACCTAGTTGCCTAAAAGATCAAGTACATAATGCTGTGCTTGATTATCTAAAACTATGCTTTATACTTCATGGATTGGGAATTTAATTTTTTTTTTTGGTGGGGGGGAAGCTAGGTGGTGCAGTGGATAGAGTGCCAGGCCAGAAATCAGGAAGATCTAAGTTCAAATTTAACCTCAGACACTCAGTAGCTATACTCTCTCTCCCTTGTGAAGAAAGCTGTTAGACAGGAGCTCCTCAGCTCCCTGCAAGTTCACACTGGATCTGATCAGACTACCGAAGGACAGTGGAGACATAAGGGGTTATATTACTTTATTCTCCGCAGCAGCAGGCCGAGACAAAGAGTGAAGCATCCTCCCTTCATCCGCATTTCTGCACTTACTGACCATTACTGACCAGTGCTCATTTGATTTATATAGAAGCACACACAGAAGGCATCATGCCAACAATAAGCTCATAAATTTACATTATCTGTGGTTACATAATGATGTGTTAGCATTGCACAAGTGCAGTATGAGTGTTTACAGCCTAAGGACCCTGGCTGCTTGTTTCAAATTGGATCCATGCCACTGTACATACAAAAGCACTTCTTAAATTTCTAAATATTATAATAAATATGTTACTATTTTGCAAATCATTTGCATAGATAAATAATTTGATAGAAATAATTGGGAATAAACTATGGTACATCAAATGTCCTATTGTTTGTGAACCCATTTGGGGTCTTCTTGACAAAGATACTGGAGTGGTTTGCTGTTTCTGTCTCCAGTTCATTTCACAGACTAGGAAACTGAGGGTTAAGTGACTTGCAGGGTCACACAGCTAGTAAGTGTCTGAGGTCATATTTGAACTCAGGTCTTCCTGATTTACAGGTCAGCACTCTATCTATTTTGCCATGCAGCTGCCCCAGTATATCAATATAATGCCACTAAAATAATAAATGAAAAAGCAATGTGAAGAAATTTGGAAGGATTTATATGAAGTACTACAAGAAAGCAGAATCAGAAGATCTACACACTGATTATTACATAATCTCAGCTGGGTCCTCACTGCAGCAAGGCAATCCTTTTATACCTCCCTAACTGATTCACTATCCCACTCATTACAGTGCCTTTTCCTAACCTTTTCACCCCTCCTCAAAATTCCCCATTGCTCTTCCTCTCCCCACCCTCTCAGCTGAGAACCTTGCCTCATATTTCACTGAAATAAAAAAAGAGGCTATTTACCAGAATTCGCTCTTTTCCTCTCTTCCTCACCACTCAGATGCCATCTACTGCTTTCTCCTACTTTATCCCTGTCTCACATGAAAAGATAACCCTTGCCAAGGCGATCCTACTCCATGTCATCTTCTCCAGATTACACCCTCTATCATCCCTACTCTCTCACCAATCTTCACTCTTTCCCCATCTAATGGCTATTTCCCTACTGTCTACAGATATACCTCTCTCTGCCATCCTCAAACAAAACAAAACAAAAACCCTCACTTGATCCAGCCATCCATGCTAGTTATCGTCTATCTCTCCTCCCTTTTCTGACTAAACTTGAGAAGGCTGTCTACAACAGGTGTCTCCACTTCCTTTGCTCTCACTCTTTTTAACTCTTTGCAGTCTGGCTTCAGACCTCATCATTCAAAGTTATCAGTGATCTGTTGGTTGCCCAATCCGATGGCCTTTTCTCATTCTTCATTCTTATTGATCTCTCTGCAGCCTTTGACACTGTTGATCACCCTCTTCTTACACTCTCTTCTCTTTAGGTATTTGTGACAGTGCTGTCTCCTGGTTCTCTTCCTATTATGTCTGACTGCTCCTCTTCTGTCTCTTTTGCTGGATCTTCATCCAGCAAGTCATGCCCACCAAAAGGGTGTCCCCCAGGCCTCTATCCTGGGCTCTCTTCTCTTCTCCCTCCATTCTATTTCACTTGGCAATTTTATCAATTTCCTTGTATTCAATGATCATTTCTATGCAGATGATTCTTATATTTACCTGCCCAAACCCAACCTCTTTCCTGTCCCTGAGTCTCACATCTCCAGCTACCTATTGGACATCTCAAAATGGATGTGCTACAGACATCTTAAACTCAAAACATAATCAAAACAGAACTCATTATCTTACCCATCCTTATACCCCGAAATACTCCCTTCTTCCTAACTTCCCTATTACAGTCAAATCAACTCTGCCATTGCTTCAGCAAGGGACATATCAATTTATCATCATATGACTTCTCTTACTACCCCTGCAAACTTCTAGAACAAAGTACTCCTCTGTTGCCACCACTTCCCAAAATGTGTTATCTCCCCCCATTAAAATATAAGCTCCTTAGGGACAGGAACTGTGTTAACTTTTGTACTGTGGCAGCTAGATGGTATAGCAGATAGGGCTTTGGAGTAGGAGTCAAGAAAACCAGAGTTCAAATCTGACCTCTTACTAGCTGTGTGACCCTGGGCAAGTCATTTAAACTCACTCAGCTTCAGTTTCCTTGTCTACAAATAGGAAAGTTAAGTGCTTTCAGCCTCAGTTTCCTCACCTGTACAATAGGGTTGCCATTATTATGGCAACCATCTCATAGGGTTGATATGAGGGTAAAATAAGAAGACAAAATATGTAAAGCACTTTATAAACCTTGAAGTACTATAGAAATGATAGCTAGCAATAGTAGACTCCTCAGCATTAGGCACATAATAAACGTTTTTCATTCAATCACATACCACCAAGGAGATAAAAAATAGAAAGGAAGGACCCATGCACACCAAAATATTCATAGCAACACTTTTGTGTTACAAAAGGATGGGAAACAAAGTAGGTATCCATCAACTGGGGAATGGCTAAACAAATTCAGGTACATAAATATAATGGAATATTATTATACCATAAGACATGACAAACATGAAGAGTTCAAAGATACACAGGAAAAGTTACATGAACTGATGCACAGTAAAGTAAGCAAAACCAGGAAAACAATATGTAAAATGACAATGTAAAGAAAAACTGGAACTGAATCCTGTGCAATTTTAGTGACCAAGCTTTGCCTCAGAGAAGAGTAGAAAAAAAATCTACTTCTTTTTTTTTCCCTGCAGAAGTGAGAGACTAGGGTTGTGGAATGTTGTATATACCGTCAGATGTGGTTAATGGTGTAGTAAGTTTTGCTGAACTTTTTTCCTCTTTCAGGGGATGGCTTGTAAGGGATGGCTATCTGAGTACAGGAGGGAGGCGGATGTGATAGAAATGTGATAGAATGTGATAGAAACAAAAAGCATCAATAAAAAAGTAAATATAAATACATACACTTATAAAACATTACTAGAGCCAAGCTTTAACACAGGCTCTCTGCCTCCTTAGGATGTATTGTTTCCCTACTTCCACTTTTTTAAATCCTTAGATTCCTTTGAGGCTCATGTTAGGTGCCCCCTCCTTTCCTGATGCCATCTAGTTGCTTTCTTCTCCTTAAATGATTTTGTATTTACTCGTTTACATGACTGCCCCCAGGTGAATGTGAGCTCCAAAAGGAAGGGACTGGGTTTTCGCCTTGCTTTGCCCAGCAGGTGCTTTCAGATAGGTCTTACACACAGTAGATAAATGGTTCTCAAAGGGTATGCCTCATGGGCTAGGTGTGCCCTCAGTCAGTCACATGCTTATGCCTCAGTGTTCTAACCCAGATTATTCCTGGCCAAGAATAACACTATAACTCGAGTAAAAAAGGTTTCAGAACCACTGTAGTTAATACTTAATAGATGTTTACTGAGTTGAATTGAAGTTTCTCAGAGTGAATAATCCTTCTTATACTCCTCTCTCATCTTAGGGGGTGCTAAATACGTTGATGTCTTGATATTCCCCCTATTTCAACACTGGGTACGTACACAACTGAAGGCACAGCACCCAAAAAAAAAGAATATTTTTAGTTTATTTAGTGCCCTCTTATCTTTCTCTTGGTAGCTTCCATAGTCCAGTTACAATAGACTGCGCTTTGGGGATCAGGAACACAGTATTCAATTTTGACATTTCTAAGAATATGTCGGGGCAGCTAGGTGGTACAGTGTGTAGAATACCGGCCTTGGAGTCAGGAGGACCAGAGTTCAAATACGGCCTCAGATACGTAACACTTACTAGCTGTGTGACTCTTGAGTAAGTCACTTAACCCCAATTGCTTCACCGAAACCCCCCCCCAAAAAAGAATATGTCTACTATGTTTTGAAAACACAGTATATTCATACACTTTAAAATAATGATTTCCCTTCTACAAATAATAAAATGCATCATAAATACATGCTGCTAGAGTGGTGCTTGATTGATTAAAACGATTAACGTCTACTAACATGAAAATGGTTCGGTGGTATCACATTTGATCATAAGAAACAACAAAGTCAACCTTACCAAGCCAGACCAGGTTAACTAGACTTTCTAATCCATCTATCTTCTCAATGATGTTGTTGTCTAGCTGTAATTTTGTCAGACTCACAAACTGCCATAGATTGTCAATCCTGAGGATGTCTAAAATCAGAGAAGACAGCACAATTGATATCAGTTCCATTTGATCAGCATATTTATATATCTATTGAATTCAAATGTTCAAAGCTAAAAAACATCAATAACAACAATAAACAACACTGTAGGCTAATTGTATTTGTCCACTGAAGTGTGAAGACCACTACAGAAACAAGGGAAAAGACCTTGTTCATTGGGTGCCTTCTGTTATGCAAATGGAAGACAAACCAGATATAAGACAACTTTGTTGCCTTTAGCAACTGTACACTGTTAATTAATACTGCCTAGGAATCATTTGAAAGGCTTGCAGCTCATACATTTAGAGATGCACGGGACCTCTTAGGCCTATTAGTATAGCCCCCTAATTTTGTAGGTGAGGAAACTGATGCCCAGAGATATGAAGTGATTAATTCAAAGTGACCTAGATAACAAGCACCAGAGGTTTGCCACCAGTTAGGGCTTTTTCTGTTGTTTTTTTTCTCCATGTTACTGAATGATGAACTGCAAGATGGTGGACTTAATGAATTCACTCCACAAGGGTCTTGATCTTTATTTGGATTATTAGTAGGAAATGGAGTAGTCTACAAGATGAAACCCTTACTTCTGAAGTTGGAACTACTTTAAGTTTCATTATATTTAGTAATACATTCCTATATCATAGGTAATATGGTGCTATAGTCTTTCTAGCAGACTAATGTAGCAGGAAAGATGACAAACAGAATTTCATTATCTTCTGCTGCTAGACCAATAAAAGTTACATATTTGTTTCTGAAAACAATAGCACAAACACAGCCGTGAAAGACTGATAGTGGTGGCCTTGAGCTCCAGGATTAACAATGAAATGGAAAGAAAATTCATAGCATACAAAGATATCTGCCATACTGAAGTGATCAAGGTTGATTCTGTATCATTTCTTATTGATCCTATTTACAATTAATTTTGTTCTGTAACTGCTTTAGTCATGGGTCTCTGTCTCTGAATTTACTTCAGAATCCAGCTGGCCTGTAATGAGTTAAGTTTAGAAATTTAGTTTTCTTGCTAATCACTTTCCTATTCTTGCCTCAAAGAATTTAGCCAACGGGGGCGGGGGGGGGGGTTGCCATAGAGAAGTCAGGCCTAATATTTTTATACCAGGAAGCTGTCCTTCAAGGGATATCTAGTTTGTTGTCCAAAAAGTCTGGGCCACTACCTTGCAGGTTCACTCAAACACTAAACACTTCTCAGTCACAAGGGGGAAGGAGAGGGCTGCTGTTAGCCCCCTCATTACCAGACTTCTAATCAATCATATTGTTCCCCATGCTGCGGCTATGCAACCAATCATGTTGTCCTCAACCCCACGAGGTCACCTACCTTGTTCTGTTTTCTGTTCTATACTCCCCCAAACCTATAAAATTCTCTATAAAAGAGAATTGTCCCCCTCATTCAGGGTCTTAGCTTACTGAGAAAGCTGAGCTTTTATTTATTGGTAAATTTATGCTTTTTTTATAAAATGATCATGCTTGGAATGTTATGTCTCAGTTTACCTTATTTTAGGTGTTAACAATACTAGGTCAGAATTGTACCTCCCACATAGTAGGTACACAACAAATATTTGCTGAACTGAACTGAACTGACCCATAGTCTACCTTTCTTAGTGTTCTGTTATTTATAGAGGCCCCAAGGGGCCAAGCCTTTGGAAGCCACACCTAAATTCAGTAATATCAAACTGAAGCCTTTGAAAACTCTGTTCCTTCATTGTACACAGTAGTAGCCATGTTGTATGATGACTAACTTTAATAGACTTAGCTCTTCTCAGCAATGCAAGGATCTAAGACATCTCCAAAAGTCTCATGATAGAAAATGCTGTCCACATCCAAAGAAAGAACTATGGAGTTTGAGTGCAGATCAAAGCATACTATTTGCTTTTTTTTTTTTCTGTTTTGTTTTGTTTTCTCTTTCTTGTGGTTCTTCCTATTGGTTTTAATTCTTCTTTACAACATGACTAATGTGAAAATATGTTTAATAGGAACGTATATGCATAGCCTATATCAGATTGTACACTGTCTTGGGGAGGGAGGTGGAGAAAAATTAAAACTCAAAAGCTTATGGAAGTGATTGTTGAAAACTAAAAATAAATTAATTAAAAAAAAGAAAACTCTGCTCCTTGGATTTTCTTAATTCTCAATTGAGGTGCGAAGAGCAATCTTAGTAATTATTTGTCACTTTGTCATTCATATAGTCTTCTAAAATCAGCTTCTATTAATGCTTCAACAAGTTCATCATATGTGTATGTACGCAACCCCTACCCAAAGTTCTACTCTCTGAGGAAAGCAGAATGGTGGCCTCTGGCCCCAACCTTCCCCTTCCCCATCCTGGCAAGAATGAAAATCTTCCCTAGAGGAGGGTGGGAGGAGAAGAGGTTAAAGTCGTCTATTTTGCCTCCCTTTGACCCACATTCTACAAAAGACCTCTCCTTATACTTAGTCTCCTACCTTACTTGTAAATTAGGAAATACTTACATTTGGAACCAGTCACTCTATTCTCATTCATCACCAAGAATTCCACTGATAGTCAAACAAAAGTTTCACTGGATCTTTTAGCAAATGCTTGTCTATTTTTAAAAATGAATATTATTCTAATATCTTTGTACCCAGGGAGATTTTGATCTTGGTCTAAGTCTACCAGCCATTTTTATAAATTAAACACCAAAGTTTGAAGTAGCTAACTGGAAATTATCTACATCTACATTTCATTCAGAGTTCAGGTTCCTTACATAAAGCCTAAACTACAGTGGTGTTAAAAAAAATTAATAAAATCTAAACAGAACAAAACAAGACCAAATACACACACACAAAATACTCACTTTGAAAATCCAGCTTCAGACTTTTGACATCTTTGAAATTAATGCCCTCCTGTTTCGCTACTTGTCCTGCTGCTTCTTGAGGCCCCTGTTCTTCCACGGCCAATTTAAGCAACTCTTCATCAATCACATTTGGCTCTATAGCATCATATAACCGAATCATCTTCCAATCTTAGTTACCCTAAGGAACAGAACAATAATTCTTTTATGCAACCTAGTTTTATCACTCTTTTTTTTTTTCAAGGGTGAGGGGGTAGGAAGAACTACTCCTTAAATGTTATGTAACACGCTAGAGCTTTACCTGTTACGGGCTTGATTGTAGATAGAGCAGAGAACCGATGCTTAGAACTCCTGTTTGGGAGATGGGGAAAGTAACATAGTATAGTTAATCGTCCAATTAGCCCACTCACACGGTATTATTCTGTGGGAAAATAAATTCTGAAATTTCTTGAGAAACTACAATTTGAGGCAAGTTGCTGCCCCTCTCTGCAAAAGAGACAATTTCAAAAATCTTTCCAGCTTTCATCCATAATTTGGATATGAAAATTATAATACCTAATTAAATTAGATGGGCCCATAATGTAGCAAGAGCCAAGGGAAGTCTATGGAGCATACCTATGGAGTGTTAAAAGACGTAGAAGAAAAACCTCAGCACTATGGGTAGATACCTTCAGGTGGGAAGACACAGAAGAAAACTGCACAAAAGGAGTAGTGGATCAATAGCTGATATAAGGAATACCAAATCAATGAAGTCACAAATCCGTAATAATGATGGTTAATTTCCTGACACTGGAAAAAAATACCAACAAAGATCAGAGGATCTTTTTCTCTGGGGATCATCCCCACAAGTCAGACCAGCGCTAAAGCCCTCATAGTGTGAATGATGGCAAAGCGTCTTCAGAAATATGGTTTCCCTCTTCCCCCACTTTTTTTTGCCAGGAAAATATTGAGGAAACATCTCTTGGGATATGGATACCTACAAACTTGATGAATGCTTTCTAGGTAAGGAATCTAAGATCTGGTAGAGGTTCTCTCTCCTCCCTACCATCTCTTTAGTCAGAGTTCAACAAGAGAGCCCATTTTTTCCTAGTTTTCCATTCCCTAGCCTTCCCTACCACTGTAGCTTGTTACCTCTGTTCTCTATTTATACATGAGTTTATTCTGCTGGTTAGCAGGTTTTTCTGTTTACTTTGTATCAGAATGTACCTGGGAGGATGACCCCAAGGGATTTCTAAAATTTTGGAAAGTATTTTAGTAGGAATCTTCTAGTTCTGGCTTGGTGGCCAGGTGATTGCCAATTTTATTACAATTTTTATAACTCGTGAACCTCCCCAAGATTAGAGGGAAGCCTTCATGTGGATCAGGAGCAAATTATTGCCCTTAACACTAAAAGAACCTCAATCATCATGCAATTGCTGATGGAGCTCACTATGGGCAAAGGCCCTGGGCTAAAACCTCCTGGGCTTCCAGGAATACTGGAGTTGGCCCAGAGGGCAAGGTCTGAGAGCCTGCTCCAGAGTCTCACCTAGAATGCTCTCCAACAATACTCATGATTCCCTCCCACTGCAAGAGTAGGAAGTGGGAGGAGCTCTGCCCCCTGTGGCTCTGTGCACTGCAAGTTAAGCTTTCCCCTGCATCTTTCTTGGCACCAGACCACCCCACCAGGTAACTGTGAGCACGCCCTGCCCCCTTTCTAGGGCCCCTTCATTTGTCATTCTCCCCCCCCCACTAGAAAGCAGGTACCTTGAAGGCAGAGACTGTTTTGTTTGTACTTGTATCCCAGTGTTTAACACAACACATGGTAAATGCTTAATAAATGTTTTTTTTTAAATTCATCCATCCATCTAGCCATTCAGACAAGTAGAAAATTCATTCTAGGATTAATTTTAAAAATTTTAAATCATTCCAATTAGTTTTTCCTTTGCTTCTTTTACACAGTATGACTTGAACAATATTGATCAAGAATTTATTATTACAAGTTTTCAACTTATTCTAATGATTTTTTCCTTTTCTCAAGATTTTCATTTTAATATTTCATTAATTCATTTTTTACTTTTTTACCCTGAGTTGACTTCAGACAAACACTGGCTAATTTTCAGAAGAATTATAGTACATTGGATTTCTTTTAATTTTAATTTCATATTTTACTGATTTCCTCTTCCATTTTCAATTTTGATAAGTAATGAATAATACTTTATCTTCCTCTTTCCCACTGAAGCCACCACTGGAATCTCTTTCTTTTTTTTTTTTTTGCAGTCTCTCTTTTGTTTTGCATTTCTTCCCAAAAAAATTTTTCTAGAATTGCTTTCAAATTTTATCTGAGTTAACTCTGTTGAACTGAAACTGATGTATGTGCTACTTGATTACTTATGAATATTAATGCTTGTCATTTGACAAGGCTAATGAGAATACCAGTTGTTTTTATGATTGCCTTATTTTAGCTGTTTACATACACATTCGCCTTGCTGATAATTCACTGATAATTACTGCTGCTAGCTGTCATTGCTTCTAATTGGCATTGCTACAGTTTATTTGTTTGGCCAGTTGTTTTACTGCTTTTTGATGAAAACAGCTATGTGGTATTTAGAAATTATTGTTACATTTGAGGTGTGGACATTGTCACATTTGGGGTGTGGACTAATTCCTGCAGCAGACCAAACATATAAGAATGAGGATGGTTTAAAAGCTCTGAAGGATAAAGTAAAGAAGTTGGGAGACTGCAAGATGGTTGTTATTCAAGGAGTGAGCACAACCCAAGAAGGAGACAGTTGGTTTAGTACCAGAACACACTGAGCATTTAAGAATACCAGACGAAATCAGGAAAAGGAACAGTGCCTGGGTTTTGGTTCACATCCCTCCACCAGCTGGTAATAAATTTGTGCCATTGTTCCTAAGAAGTTTATGATATTAATGAATAAAAATAATAACAGCACAACATGGGAGGTCCAAGCGTGGAACCATGTTTGGTTTGTCATCTCCACAGCGTGAGGATCTTTACCAGCAACAACAAGATATTCATATGTAAGTGATGTTGGCTCAACATATCCACAGTCAGAGCTGTTACTTCTACTTATGCCTAGGCAGCTCTGAAGGAATGGCTTCCTTAAATCAGATGGCATTGTAATGGCCAGGAGATGGCCCAAAGCTAAAAACACTAAGTCAGTGGGAAACACAGGAGTAGCAGTACTTCATAGATAGGATTGAAAGAGTAGGGCCAGTTCCCTGAGTCAGATGAAGAAACCTCACTTGAATCTGAGAAGGAAAGAAGTCCACTGAATTGTATGAAAAATCTCACACGATAAGAGAGGAAGATAGACTGGATCAGGCAGAAAAACCTTGGCAGATGGCAGGCATAGGACTAGATATGTTATGGCAGAAAACACCCCCCGCCAAAATTAAGAATTTTCTCAAGGAGAGCATCCATGCCCTCCTGGGGAATAACCAGGAAAAACGTGGCTTACACAGGTGTCAGTAGCATTACAGAATTGGAGGGCTTTTAATAGGGCAGGATAATATTTTAGTGGAAAACCTTTTGAAGGGCCTGTCAAACTTACGTATAAAAATATTTTGGGGGTAAGCACCAAAGCAGTCATATTTTATATTTATGACATCTACACTTCAGTATTGAGGGTTACAGTCATCTGACTTGGTATTCAGAAATCGGCAGGAAAAGGGTCAGTAAGACCAGTATGAAATTAAAAATTGATTTTTTAATCCTATTTTGTTAAGACTTAAATTTGCATAGATTTAATATTCTCCTTTCCTGTATGTGCCTAAATTCCTCCTTCTTGCAAATTCACTCAGGTAATCTCCACCCTTACATTTTGACTTATACCTCACCCTTGTAACCACACCCATCACCCATTTTCCAGAGAAACTTGATTAACCAGAAAGTCAATCTCATCAATCTAAACTACTTATACTAAAGGTAATCTCATCCCATTAGTTGTAGTTTGGGAGGCTAGGTGACCCACAGGATGGAGTGCTAGGCCTAGAGTCAAGAAGACCTGAGTTTAAATTTAGCCTCAGATACTTACTAGCTGAAAAAACCTCAGTTTTCTCATCTGTAAAATGAGCTGGAGAAAGAAATGGCAAAACACTCTTTTTCCCAAGAAAACCCCAAATGGGATTATGAAGAATTGGACATGACTGAAAAATGACTGAACTTTTAATGAAATAGAAGACTTTCAAGCATTTCTGATGAAAACCTTAATTTCCCAACATCTATATACTCTTTGGATTTAGACTCTATCATCATAATGCTTCCAGAAAACATCTTCAGTTAATTCATCATCCTAAAAGACTGCATCAGGTTTGGGACTTACACTTCTTTAGAACATTCAGTACCCTCTGCTGATGGGAGGGCTGGAGAACAAAGCAAAGAACCCTTTCCATTTAAAGAGGGTTCACGGACGAGCCAACCCCTCATTTCCCACCAGCTGTACTCCCTAGACTGGACTCCACCAGGGCCCCAAGCTGGGTACCTTCTTCCTCAGCCCTTCCCCACTTTCTCAGTTTTCTTTTACGTGCTGTCTTCCCCCTTAAACTGTAAGCTCCTTGAAAGCAGGAGCTAATTTTCCCTAATCTGTGTCCCCCAAAATTAGCACAGTATCTGGAACATAATAGGTGCTTAATAAATGTTTATTAACTGACTCTTGATGAAAAGCCTAATTATGTTGGGGTGCTTGGGTGCTTATGTTTGGGTGCATACTTGGGCCCCAATTTCTCCCTAGCCTCAGAAACACTGTCCCTTGATAATCATTTAAGATCAATTGAGCCCCAATAAGGGCCAAAAAACCTAAATTAATCTTTTTTTCTGAGTGAACTAAAAATACCCCTTCCTGTGTCAGCAAATTCCAGGACCAGATAGAGCTGATCAGTATTCTTCCAGTTTGCTATCACTGGGCCCAGGACGTCTGGGACCAGATACTCTCTTGAATAATGGGATTTTTCTTATCTTGAGTTTCAATTGAGAACTGACCACTCCTTAACCACTCCCTAATCCCAGCCTGAATCCCCTAGTTAGCATATTTGGCACATTTTTTTTTGTATTTTATCCTATATAAACTTTAACTGTACCTCTCTAAGGTTGCAGGATCCTTTAAGAATCCTTGCCCGCTGAAAAGCGTAACAATAAAACTTTGCCACCTTGGCTTAAAGAATGCTTGAGTCTGTGAATTCATTGCAGACTACCCGCCCTGTACTCTGGTCTTTGAGGGGTCACAACCTCTCAACCTCTCAGCCCGCAACAATTAGACATTTTGAAATTCAAAACCAGGAGTCAAAAGAAACATAGAAAGGAAAATACATTTTATCATTGGGAAAGGACTATGTTACTATGAACTGTTCAT